TGCCACTATACTCACTTTGGTGTCCTTCCAAATCAATGACTGTTTACTAACACAAATATTTGCAAACACACCCACATGGAATATGCCTGTACACAGACACCTATATTTGACCCAACAATTCTACTTCCGGCAATTTATACTACAAATACAGTCAGACGTATATAAACAAGCAGATTCACAGTAAAATAAATTAGAAACACCTAAATGTCCTTGAATATAAGAAGGCTTAAATTATGTGTGGCATATCAACAGAGTAAAGTAAGTATAGAATTATCAAAATTAAGGGAAATTATGTATCAAAATGGAAAGATTCCCAAGATACTTTTTTTTTTTTTTGGTGTTGGTCTTGGGGCTTGAACTCAGGGTCTGGGGTGCTGTCTTTGAGCTTTTGTGCTCAAGACTAGCACTCTACCTCTTGAGCCACAGTTCCCCGTTGGCTTTTTTTGGTGGCTAATTAGAGAAGAGAGTCTCATAGATTTTCCTATTTGGGCTGGCTCTGAACTATGATCCTCAGATCTCAGCCTCCAGAGGAGCTAGGATGACAGGCATGAGCCACCAGCACTTGGCTCCCAAGACTTTTTTTTTTTTTTTTGGGGTCCGGTCATGGGGCCTGAACTCTGGGCCTGGGTGCTGTCCCTCAGCTCTTCAGCTCAAGGCTAGTGCTCTACCACTTGAGACACAGCACCACTTCCGGCTTTTTTCTTATGTGGTGCTGAGGAATCAAACCCAGGGTCTCATGCATGCAAAGCAAGTGCTCTACCACTGAGCCATCTTCCCAGCCCAGCCCCTCCCAAGACATTTTTAAGAGAACAGAGTCCAATGTATAAATGAGAGAAAAAAAAAAAAGATATGCATGTATCTTCATGCCCGCAAAAAGAAGTCTATAAGGATAACCGAAGCCAGGATCAATGGTCATCCCTTTAGAAGGTCTGGGAAGAATGGTGGAGTGCATATGCACAGAAGACATTCAGATATAATGGGCTAGAGAAGGATCCTGTACTGTTCTGCATTTCTTCAGGATTCCGAGGAGTCACTGGATGGAGGAGTCACTGACAGCAGACAGCCTCTGCCTGCTTTCCCGCCTGGTCTACATCAGCTCACCCCCATCACGCTCCATGTTCCTGCCACACATTCTGGCTCCTCAGAAAGGCTATTTATTCCCTTCTACCTGCCTTCTTAGTGTTCATGTCTGTTCCTTTTGTCTGGATGGAATACTGCTCCCTTATGCTTCACCTAGTAAATACATACTTAGCTGACTGAGGCCATCTTAAAGATCCTTTTCCTCAGGGAAACGTTTCTTACTTTACAAACTAGATCAATACTTACATTTTGGGCACATGCGCGTGCCCACACACACACACACACACACACACACACACACAACAACAACCTGCGCTTCTCCTTCTAGAACTTAGCTGTGATGAGGTAACCGTCTAATTCTACATGGACACGTACACCTCTGCCATCCTCTGCAGACTACAAGGTCCCAGTGTTCCGAGGCGACATCAGGTGCTTTCACGACAGTGTTGTCACACTTAATGTAGCATGCAACTGGGAAGCAGGCCTTCTGATCACAGCTAAGTGAATGATGACTGCTCCAGATGTCAATACCTAGGAAACCAACACCTAGGCAAACAAGGACAATGCAGCATCACTGGTGTTCAAGGCAGTAGTTTATAACGGTGGTTCTCACCTAAGGATAATGGTCCCTTTCCAAGAAGACAGCTGGCAACATCTGACATCATTTGCAAACAATTCTGATTGTCACAACTCTGTGTATGGGGAGTACAACTAATGTCTAATAAGTAGACGTCAGGTAATGCTGTACTAAAGATCCTGTGCTACACAGGCTAACCCTCTACAAGAGTTTTGTGGCGTTTAGTGTGGGGGTGGGAGGGAGAGGAGGGTACTGAGGCTTGAACTCAGTGCCTGAACACTGTGTCTGGCTTTTTTGCTCAAGGCTAGCACTCTACCACTTGAGCCATAGATCCATTTCTGACATTTTGCTGTTTAAATGGAGGTAAAAGTTGCACAGACTTTCCTTCCCAGGCTGGCTTCAAACCTCTATCCTCAAATTTCAGCTTCCTGAGTGGTTAAGATTACAGGTGTGCGCCACTGGCACCCAGCAAAGTTGTGTTTTAAAATGCCAATCGTGTGTCATCGTCATTGTCCGCAATGGAAAACTCTGATTTAGAGGATGGTAATACTCAGGAGTGGCCAAGGGCCAGACATGATGGTGCACACCTATCATTCCAGCTATGAGGAAGGTAATAGCCAAAAGCATGAGATCCTATCTGAAAAATAAGGCAAAAAAGGGCTGGTATGTATGTCTCAAGTAGTAGAGAACTTGAAAGTTCAAGCCCTTGAGTTGAAACCCTATTACGGTCGAAAGTAAAAAGGGGAGTGGCAGTGGTCAATTTTACTATGGGCACTTGTAGGTTGTTTTGTTTTTAAGAAGGAAAAATCAGGAGGTGTCATAAAAAGCTTCAGAGGAAATAAAGCTTTAGTTGCTTGCTAAAAGGTGGCAGGGGCCAGACTACTGAGTTTGAAGCAGGGGTGGCTCCTGCCTGTAAGTCTAGCTACTCAAGAGACTGAGATCTGAGGACTGTGGTTCAAAGCCAGCCCAGGCAAACAAATCTATGAGACTCTTATCCTCAATTAATTATCCTTCCCTGCCCCCTCCCACCTAAAAAAAAGCCATAAGTGGAGCTGTGGCTCAAGTAGTAGAATGCTAGCTTTAAGGACAAAAGCTCAGGGACAGTACCCAGGCCTTGAGTTTAAGCCATAGGACTGGCACGCGTGCGCGCACACACACGCACACACACACACAAAGTTATGGTTTAAAGTTATTCTCTTCAAGTTTTCCATACTCCACAAGTCCCTAGCTACTTTACTCCCTTCTTTTGGCAGTACTGGGGTTTTAACTCAAGGTCCTATGCTTAGCTAACTAAGAGCTCTACCACTTGAGCCACACTTCCAGCCCACCTTTATTCTCTTTTAGATCTTTCTTTTAGGACTGTTGGTTTCAGCTAAACATGAAGACCAAATCAATCCAGACCATAAAATCAGAAAACTCCTTCACTCTCCAGCAAGTGCACTTGCATTTCAAAACATGTAAATCTTACAAGTACAAATAAATAATTACTTTCTTAATGCTCAGGGTGTTAGCAGATAAAGCTCATTTTTGAGCCCCAAAATAGCCATCAAAGCCAAGTTGGCCCTGATAGATTTCTCCAAAGCTCTATTAAAGCAAGAAAGAAAAGACAGAGAAAAAGCAGTTCTAAGATTGTATATAAAACATTCAAGTTCTTTTCTTTTTCCCTCCACAAGTGTCTCATGATACAAGTTCTTCCAACAGACATTTCAAGATCCATTTGGGAGTTTTGTGTGTGTGTGTGTGTATTAAGAATATAGTGTGGATTATAAAGGCTTTCATTAGAAGTCATGGAGACCACGAAAGAAACTGAGATCATTTTTTAACAGCACCACTAGGGAACAAACCTGGTGTTTTCCTGAAACACAAGCCTGCTGCCGGCTGTGCTGGAGGCCCAGGCTCTGACCTAGTATGGCAATTCTTAGGGTCTTGGAGCTGGGTGCTGTGCTGACAAGAAATTGAGGCCTGACACTAAGACAGAACAAAGAGAAATGCCTAGCACCAAAGGTTGGGAAGTGTGTGTGTGTGTGTGTGTGTGTGTGTGTGTGTGTGTGTGTGTGTGTGTGTGTGTGTGTGTGTGTGTGTGTGTGTGTGTGTGTGTGTGTGTGTGTGTGTGTGTGTGTGTGTGTGTGTGTGTGTGTGTGTGTGTGTGTGTGTGAGATGTGTTGTGCCTAAATGAAAATCTGTAGGAGGAACAGTTCAGCATCTTTGGAAAGGCATGACAAATCCTCCCGTCTCCTGCTTACACAGTAAGATTGACTCAGTGATTTGCGATCATTTCCTAATAAGAAAATACCGTATCATTTACCTAGACAGTTCATGTCTCCACTCCTCCGACCCCCCGCCCCCATCTCTCCATTTTCACATCGTTATTAAACCCGGGATACCATTTCTTTAGGCTTTAGAGCCCAGTGGAAATAATGAACACCACACAGAGTTCTGATTCAATATCAACTCCAAGCCCGGCCAGCTGGTTTCCATCGAGACGTCCCCGAGGAGAACGCCCCCTCGGAGGCGGTGGCCTGGTGGTGGTGGTGGTGGTGGTGGTGGTGATGGGGAGGGGGGTGGGCCGGAGGGAAGGGGGGGGAGACCCAAGCAGACATTTAGAGCACAGCAGCGATCAGAGCAAGAACAGGGTAAGGGGTAGGGGATGGGGGAAGAGACGGGTGTCCACCAGGCCTCAGTTTACCTTTGTCTCAGGTCCCAACCCCTTTCCTTCTCTTCTTCTCCCACTCCCTCCACCCCAACTCCACACCCAACCCCACCTCACAGCCAGTGACACATCCTTCTTTGGCCAAGTAGTCGTGGGGCCGAGGCTGGGCCCGGGTGGGGGTGGGGATGGGGGGGAGGGGGAAAGAGGGGGGGGGCGGGGAAGGAAAATAAAGCCTCAGCGCCTCGCTGAGACGTGACTCTCAGTTCTTCCAGAACCTTGGCATTTGCTTTTCGTGCCAAGCTTGCCAGTGCACAAGTTGCCCGGGACTCTGCGTATGTGTGTGTGTGTGTGGGGGGGGGGGGGGCTAGGCCTGGGAACCCCAAGAAGTGGGAGGCGCCCCGGCCTCCTCCTCCATAGGAGCCCCCGGACTGGCGTTCTCCACACACACTTCCCCCCCACCCCCCCACCTCCACTCACCCCCTTCCCGGACTATCCCGGGGGTGGGGATGTGGAGTTGGGAAGGGGGGTCCCCCACCACTCCCCACGCTACCGGCTCCACAGGCCAGGCCGGTCCCCGCCCCCCACCCCACCCCACCCCACCCCGCTCCCGCCTCTGTACCCCGGACTCCCCACCCTCTACCACAACAAGGGGGGCCGGGGGCTCCGAAGGCTGCAGGCCGCGCGCGCACCTACCTCAGAGCTCCTCCTCTGACGGCCGCCGCGGTTCCCCGCCGCGCGCGCACACGCACGCGCACGCGCGCGGGCCTCCGGGCTGGGGAACGCCACCGACGCGGCGCCCTCGCGAGCAACCCGAGGCCCCAACGCGCCCCGCCCGCCCCCGCCGCCGCCGCCGCCGCCGCCGCCGCCGCTCGGCCGCTGCTGCTGCTGCTGCAGCCGGTCGTCGCCCGCCCGCCGCCGCCGCCGCCGCCGCCCCTCAGTCCCGCCCTCCGCTCCGGCTTGGGTGCCCCGCCCCCTGCGCTAGACCACACCCCCTCCAGACCCCGCCCTCCTTCTACGTACATCGAAACTCCGCCCCCCTTCGGCTCTCTTCCCATCACCACCACCTTCGCCCTCTAGGCTCCGCCCCTTCGCTCGCCAGGCCCCGCCCCGCACGTTCCGCGAGGCGGGAAAAGGACGGCGGCGAGGGTCGCTGAGAGAACCGCCCGGGGCTCGCACGCACGCGTCGCGCGCGCCACGCTGTGGGGATGGCGTTGGCTCCACGGGGCCTGGAGGGAGCCGCGACGACGCTCCAGGTGAAGACTGCTCGGTGGAGTCTCCCTTGCGTGAATATGTCCGTGCCCTATCCTTGGTCGTCTTCGGGACTGCGGGGGCCCCTCGTGGATACGGCTAGGCCTCTCTCCGGGGAGGGGCGGGGTGGGCCCACCTCTGTCCGGGCCGGGTGCCCCTGGCTCCCACCTGGCCTCACATCCTAAGCTACTCAGGAAACGTGTTCGAGGTTCGAAACCAGCCCAGACGCCTGTGAGACCGTCTATCCGCCACCCGACCAGCAAAAGACCGGAAGTGGCGCTGTGGCTCAGGTAGTAGAGCGCTTGACTGGAATCAGGGTCCCATGCCCTGAGTTCAAGCGCACGTACACACATACACACACACACACACACCTGAGTGTTTCCTCTAAACCAATCCTTAAGGTTTACAAAGCCTTGGAAAGAAAAAAAAAATTGTATTTCCCACTCCACGTTGCTTTTCCATTTTTATATTTGCTTATTCTATTGCCAGAGCTGGGGCTTGAACTCAGGGCCTGGGCACCGTCCCTGAGCTGCTTTTGCTCAAGGTTTAGCACTCTACCACTTGAGCCACAGCACCACTTCTGGTGTGTGTGGTACTGGGGAATTAGAACCCAGGGCTTTACGCATGCTAGGCAAACACTCTACCACTAAGACACCTTCCCAGTCCTATTTGTTTGTTTGTTTGTTTTTTTTGGTGCCCCTCTTCCTGAAGCTTGAACTCAAGGACTGGGTGCTGTTCCTGAGCTGCTTTTGCTCACGGCTAGAACTCTACCATTTGAACCATAGCTCCACTTTCAGCTTTTTTTTTTTTTAATTTAAATTTTGGTAGTTTTAGTGGAGATAAGAGTCTCACAGACTTTTCTGCCTGGGCTGGATTCAAACCGAGATCCTCAGATCTCAGCCTCCTGAGTAGCTAGGATTACAGATGAGAGCCATCAAAGCCCAGCTTGCTTTTCCATTTTAAAAGCCTTATCTTATCTGAGCTAGAGCAAGCTGAGAGAAAGGGCTGGGCAGGACCAAGGACTTTGCAAAGGACACAGTTCATACTTGAAAGAAAGGGCAGTACACAGTGAACCATGGAACAATTTCAATGCTGCTGACCCCCTCAACCTGAATTCTTGGTTTGTCTTGACAGCTTTATAACCTGCTTTTTTTTTTTTATTAGACTTTGTTGCCATATGTTTGTACAGAATATAAGGTGAATGTCTAAAGGACACAATTCTGGCTTGGAAATTTGATTTAGTCCAGTGGAATCAGTTCCTGGGTCATGAGTGCCTTGTGAATTCAGCCAATTCACAACTACTTTGTAAACAATATAAAAAAAGCAAGGCCTAGTTTTTGCTCTTAAGGGGCATATGGTCAAATACTGGAGAAATAGTTGAAAATACAAGTGTTTTAATTTATTATGATGATAGAGAAATAGCTGAGCAAATTAATTTTGTGGGGTAAGGAGAATATAGGGTCATCTTATAGCATTTTTTTTAAATTATGAAAAACATCTATGAAAAATAAAATATCTTGTGAAAAGCATAAAATATTAACTGCAGAAATAGAATATTAATGAACTACTATGCAGGTATCATTCAGCTTTAACTATTACCATCTCATGGCCAATTTCTTTCATCTATATCCTTATCTTTATCTTTTCCTGAAAAACAAAACAAACATGCAGCACTTTTTTTACCTATAAATATTTCACTGTGCATCACTGACTAGACTTTATCTCTCACTTGTATGAGAACTGATTGTACGCACAGATCTGAAAAGTTCTGTAGGTGATAGATTTAAACCAAACCATATCACTAACCATATTAAATGTAAATTGACTAAACACCCCACATTTCAAATCAAAATCACAAGTCTAAATATAGTATTTCAGACTCCCATCTGTCAAAAAAACCCCAGCATAACTATAGTAGGATATTTAAAAGACTTGATTATTGTTGTTGTTGTCTGCAAGTTAAGATTTGTATGTGTGTGCATGTGTGAGAACCTGCGTGGAAGAAGGTAATCTTTCACCATTTTGTCATCTATGTTTTCTAATGTATGAGGCAAGTTTTTGCACATGGAAAGGTAAACAAAACCACTTAGAAGCCAGGTGCTGATGGCTCATGCTTGTGTTCCTAGCTATTTCAGAGGCTGAGTCCTGAGGATTGTAGTTCAAAGCCAAGTCCATGCACATAAATTCCTGAATTTTTTTTTTTTTTGGTCAGCCAAGGGGCTTGAACTCTGGCCTGGTCACTCTCCTGAGCTCGTCAGATCAAGGCGAGCGCTCTACCACTTGAGCCACATTGCCACTTCCGATTTTTCCAGTGATTCACTGGAGATAAGAGTCTCACGGACTTTCCTGCCCTGGCTGGCTTTGAACTGTGATTCTCAGATCTCAGCCTCCTGAGTAGCTAGGATTACAGGCATGAGCCACTGGTGCCTGGCTTCCTGAGATTCTTATTTTCAGTTAACCAGCAAAAAGCCAAAATGGGAGGTGCAGCTCAAGTATAGAGTACTACTAGTCTTGAGCAAAAAAATCAACAGAACACAAGGTCCTAAGTTCAAGTCTCAGGATGAACACAAATAGAAGCAAACAATAACATACATAGAGGGGCTGGGAATATGGCTTAGTGGTAGCATGCTCGCCTACCATGCATGAGACCCTGGGTTTGATTTCTCAGTGCCACAAAAGCAAAGTTAAAAAAAAAAAAAAACTACATAAAGCTGCCTTTGCTTAATTAATGTCAAATTTTATGTGAGGTACTTAGTTTTAAAATATATTTTCACTAGGCTTTTAAGCTAAACCTTAGTATATTTTTATAATCTTCTGTTACAGTTTAAAGTTAGCTTATAAATTCTCTAAACATTTATACCCTTGATAAAAATTTTAGATTTCCAACCACAACTGAACGTGTATCTGATTCCCCAAAGCAATTCAAGTACTCAACAAACAAGCTTACAAATCTAATAAACCAATATTCCTAAGCTCTGAAACTCTTATTTACAAACTTAATAACTCAGAAGTTATAGATTTTGTACCTCAGAATCTCTGCACATTCAAACACAGCTTACAAATGTAATCAATCCAACTTTTGCACATCTGAAATTTAAATCTTCAATCTACCGTCAATTAAATTCATTTAAACATTTCAAATGAAAATCACAAGAATCAATCCAACATTTCAAATACTCCATCTGTCAAACCAAATACATCCAAATTGCAAAGATGATGAAAAAATAACTTATTCTTGAGCTCAACACACCAAGTGTAAAGCTTAAGGTTTCAATCATTTCACTCTTATTCGCTGTCTGGACATGGTTGGCTTATAGGAAACTAGTTAAAGTAGAGAATCATAAATGATATCTCATACATAAATTAAAAGATTATAATATGAATATACATTTACTTGCCCTGCATACCCTTTCTTCATGTATGATGTTAATTAGAATTTCAAGTATCTTCACTGCATTCTTTTTTTCTTATTATTGCAAGTGCTGGGGCTTGAACTTAGGGCCTAGGCAGTGTCCCTGAGCTTGTTTTAGTTCAAGGCTAACACTACCACTTGAACCACAGTGCCACTTCTGGCTTTTTCTGCGTATGCGGTATTGAGAAATCGAACCCAGGGCTTCCTGCATGCTAGGCAAACACTCTACCACGAAGCTGCCTTCCCAGCCCCACATAAACCATTCTTGTGATGCAAATTCTGTAACTTCCAGTTTGAATTATGTCAAAATAAAACAAAAATAGAACAAAAATTCTAAACTACTACAAATCTACAAATGTAGATGGATTATTCCTTTCCTTGCAATCTTTCATAGCTATTTTGTTCATTTATTTCTTCTATGAGTGTGTGTGTGTGTGTGTGTGCTGTTTGGGATTGAACCAAGGGCCTATCATAGGATAGGTAAATGGATTTATGTATGTATGTATGTATGTGCTATTGATCCTGGGCCTTGAACCTTGGGCCTAGGCATTGTCCCTAAGATTCTTTTGCTGAAGGCTAGTCTTCTACCACTTGAGCCATAACTCTATTTCTGCCTTGTGTTGTGTGTATGGGGGCAGGGGGGAGAGCAGAGGGTTAGTTTATTGGAGATAAAAGTCCTGTGGACTTTCCTGTGTGGGCTGGCTTTGAACTGTGATCTTCATTCAGAGCTCAGCCTCCAGGATTAAAGGTGTGAGTTACTGGTGCCTGTCTGGCAAATGCCTTTTAAATTTATGTTTTTATTGAGACATAGTACAAGTCTATCTTTATGGAATTCAGTACTATAATTCAATTCATGTACAGAACACAAAGGTTTTTTTTGTATGGTTATACCAATTGTAGAGCATTTCATCACTCTGAAAAGGAACTCCAAACTCACTAAGTTATCAAATTAAATCAGGGTAATCAACTCCTCTATCTCTTCAAGCGTTAATCATTTTTATGTGTTGGAAACTTTCATACTTCTGGTTATTTTGGAATGCAACATACTTTGTATTTTGAAATATAGCCTATGCTATATTTCAAAAAATCATATTTCAACAACAGTAGTTTATTTTA